CAAAACAGAGGTTTTGGCAATAAGATTCCAGGTTAACACAGGAAAAGCTGAGCAATAAGCTCTTTCTCCACACACACTTTTGCTGCAGTGTCCCACAGGGCAATACCCCGAAGGCAATTCCCCACCCGATCTCCTCAAGTGACTCACACCAGGCTGAACAAGATGGACTTCGCCCCAAGCAGGGCTGCCAGATACTGACCCTTCCTCCCACAGCCGAGGGAAAAGCACACGTCCGCTCCCCCAGGCCAGCGCCAGCTTGGCTTTCTCCCAGGAGGGGACTGGCACGAGGAGGGACACAGTCCCCAGCTGTCACTGCTCCCAGCGCAGCCGACAGCAGGAGCAGGACATGGACATTCTCTGGGGCTTTGCAGCTTCTCAGGGCGCACAACAGCCCCGTGCCTCAGTTTCCCCTTTGCCCAGCCCCAGGGCTTTAAGAAGTGCTCTGGGGCCACAATGTCCCAACACTTTCACTGAGCGATGTGAGCAGAGGGCAAACCACGTACATTTTTGGGAGAGGAGCCCCAAAAAACACCTTGCTCACTCCTAGCATGTGCACTCTTTATTCTTTCTCAGAAAGCTGCAGCCAAGGAGACAACCCCAACAAGCGAGGGCTGCTGAGGCTGCAGACCCCAGCCAGACCCCAGCGTCCCGCATGCATGCACAGCCCCCCTGCACCCTCCCTGCTGCGCCCTTTGAGCTCGCCATGCCCAAAAAGGTCCCCTTTGGCTTCCAGGTCAAAATCTCCACCGTAAGAGGGGCTGTTGGGTACAGCACAGCCCAAACAGCCGGGGGAAGGAGAGGTTTTCCTTTTCAAAGCTCAAGCGGGTGAAATGGGAGGAGGCGAGTGAGTGGGAGTGTGCAGGGGCCCTGACTTCTTTGATCACGTCTGGGGACTATATTTAGCAGCCAGCTGTCTGACACTGCATTTCCAGCCCACCAGGCTGCTCCCACCCAGCAGCAGCCATGGCTGCCCACCACCACCCCTGCTGCTGCTTCTCGGGGCGCTCTGGACCCTCTCATCTGCACCAGCCCCCTGCGATATCACCCCAGGGAGAGGAGCAGAGAGGAATCCCCAGGGAGCAGCACCACCAGAGACGCGGCCCCAGAGCCACCGATCCCATCCCCTGCAGCAGCCAGGCCCTGTAACTCCAGGTACACGAGGGTGGCAGAACCAGCTCCACGTCTGCAATAACCAGCATTTCCAGTGATCAGCCGCCTCGCGCTGCTCTCTCCTCCTCTGTCATTAAAAGCATTTTAATTAAAAGAGACAGAAATTTGCCCGGCATCAGATGCGGTGATTTCCTGCTTTCAGCCACACAGAGACGAGATCCCCGGCTCTGCAGCCACGTCTGCCCCACAGGCATGGCATGCAGGGGCACAGCAGCCCCCAGCTGCCCCACACTCTCTCCACCATCCTGCCCAGGCTCAGGACTGGCACAGGTGACACCAGCCCATGGGTGTCACAGCACAAGTGCCCTGCTTCTCCCCCAAAACCTCAAATAAAGTGGATTATTGCAGGAACCCCCCCACTCGGGAGTGGGGCAATACATCCTGGGACGGTCCCAAAGTGGTGTTGGTCCCAGAGGAGAAACCTGCGTCAGACTTCCAGCCCCACGGTCCACAACCATGGAGAACACCAGGTTCCTCCTTCATATTTTTGGTGCTTTAGGTGAACGAACACCCTGTGCTGCTTCCTCAGCCTGCTCTCCGGGAAACCAGCATATATTAATAACAATAAATCTGGAAAGGGCAGATCAGTTCACTTTCTAATCACCTATGAAACTTCCACAGCTCCCAAAGAGCAGAGGGTTGGGAGGGGAACGAGCAGCAGGCTCTGAGAGACTCAGCTAGGAAGAAAAAAAAAAAAAATCAGCTGTCAAAACCCGTAAGAACAAATCGCTTAAGTGGCTGGATTTCCTCCTTTAACTTTCTTTAGGGCTTTCTCTAGCCAGGTCCAAGCCACCCCCCCTCGCCGGCGGAAGAAGACTGCGTCTCAGCCTCCGCTCTGGCACTTCTCCGGGGATTTGCAGCGACAGGGGATTTCCAGCACACCCCGCCTGGGGGTCGGTTTCAGTCCCGCAAGGCGACAAAACGTGCCCTGGCGAAGGAGCCCCGCAGCCCAGGGTGCTCCACGCCAGGCTGGGGGGGACCAGCCGGGCCCAGGACCCCCCCTCGCCCCGGCCGGGGTGCCGGCGTGAGCAGCCCTCGCTGGAGGAGCTCTGCCCTTCGGCTTCGGCTGGCCCTGGGGCCCGCCG